GGACCGCACGTCGTCACTGTTGTTACCAACGAGCCTGTGTGGCGGACTGCATTCGGCGCCAACTGCTCTGGGGAATAGTTGTGAAGCTCAGAAGACGTGAGCTTTGATGGAGGATCGGGTGGCACACCTGAAAGACCATCGGTTCTCCGCGCATGAGGGTTGGTGTGCAGGTCTGCATGATCGATGACAACCTCTACAGCATGTGTGGCATATGTAGTCTGCAGTGCCATAGGCGCACCAGGTACGTCGTCCTCAGCTGCGTCAGTCATAGTCGCAGCCTCTCGGAAGTTTGGCTGTGGTTGACGGCTTATGACTTTAACTTCGGCTGCGGGAGAGTGCGGGGCTGAAGATGGTCGCTGCTGGCCGGATGCAGAGAGCGTCGAGGTGGGTGGGGAGGCGCCTTCGGACATCGTCGACGCTGAAGTCTCCGCGACCAAGGGGCGAATAGTGAGCGTGAGGATATCCGTAGTCTTGGCAGATTCCGGGGCATGCGGCGATGAAGCCGTCGTGGAGAAATCTGTCTGAGAAATCGTGGTCTGTGTAGGCCGGAGAAGACATGCGGGTGGCGAGAGTGCCCGAGGGACAATCGGCCGAGGACTTCGAAAAAAATGCACCTCGTGGCGACCCCGTCGTTGGCTACAGGAACGTATTGAAGAAGCTCGTCGGATTTCGTGGCTGACTAGTCGCGTGCAGCACGAATGTTCTGAACCTCGTCGGATGGGCATTCGTACGCGGGACTCGCGTTGATAGCGGCCGGACGAGATGTTGTAGGAGACGTAGTCGGGGAAGTTAGGTCCCGGTCAGTGAAGACTTTCGGGCCGGAGGGTACCGCACGCTGCGACGCAGACGAAACTTGTAAGTCGCGGGTGAACGGCAGCGGGTGGTAGGTGAGGCCATAGCTGGCAAGCACCGCTGAGCAGAGGTCATCGTAAGGCTGCTGGCTGGAGGTTGAAGTGCCAGAGAGATGACGCAACTCTACCGGAAGGGCGTCTTGAAGAATGGCGTGCATCAGCGGCTGGTCCGTGACGCCATTCAACGCCATAACGGCATCGAGTTGCATGAACCATACCTTGGGGTAGGTCGATTGGAACGGCGGCATCGGCGGGCAGAGTTGCGGGAACATGGCCGCGGGCCGCTCGGCGAAGGGCGTGTTCTCCGGGTCACCAATGTAGCGGCGATGAGAAGAGAGACGTGAGATGACGTCGAAGGCGGCCGATGGGGCCGTGCCGATCTCGCCACTTTATTCCAGGCTTGAAGCAGAGCCACGTCGGCCACCAGCGTCCGCCACGCCAGGCGTGTCAGCTCGTTCTAATCCTCGCGCAGCTCGAGCTAGCATCAGCTGCGCGAGAGGCGCGGCGCAGTGATTGAGAAATGATGATGGTGATGATGGCGCTACAACACTATTAACTCCGCATCTGCCACACGAACTTACCCAAACCAGAGCACTTGTTTATACACTATGTTGGCATGACTCTGGAACAACTCAGAAGAACGGCGAAATTCCACATGACTCCTATATTGCAGTCTCATATTACCATTGGTGTAACATGCCCGCCAAGACGACAAATCGTCTGTCCTCACTGACAGCTTGTATCAGCAGGGGAGCGAAAAGCACAGAACTGGGGCATTCGCTTATGCATGTTGTTTCGCAAGTAGTACAGAAGGTTTCGACTGGTCTCGGTTTTGTGCATTTGCATTGATAACGTGTTTACGAAAATATATACCCGAGAAATGCGAACGAGATACAAGTTTTCTCTCGCACAGTGTAGATTTTGTGTCATATTACAGGTATGTTTTTTTTTTCTTTAGCAAAAAACAGTGCGTTTGCGGCCGAACACTTACCCGCTACAACATATATATACCATGGTCATTTTGAAAGACAGGAGTGCCGGATTGCAACGCCGCGGTGGTCTAGTGGCTAAGGTACTCGGCTACTGACCCGCAGGTCTCGTGATCAAATCCCGGCGGCGGCGGCTGCATTTCCGATGGAGCTGGAAATGTTGTAGGCCCACGTGCTCAGATTTGGGTGCACGTTGAAAAAACCACTAGTGGTCGAAATTTCCGGAGCCCTCCGCTACGGCGTCTCTCATAATCATATGGTGGTTTTGAGACGTTAAACCCCACACGTCAATCAATCAGGAGTGTCGGAAAGGTGGTGGTGTCTATAAAAAAAGAAAGAAATGCAAGGCCATCTTCCATCTTTTTCTCGAGTCTCACAATAAATAACGCTGCGTTTCTCCCAGAAATGAATATGGAAAAATTATCAGAAACTCAAGTCATATGTTTTTACGTGGTATCAGGCATTCTCGTGGTTTCGATAACTTCCGCAGTGCTGACAAGAAAAACTCTCGCCGAGCAAATATGGGACTGTCCGTAGAGTGAACATACCAACAAGTCTCCTTGCTTTTGTCGGTCCTGCCGATAAGTGTGTGCTGGCCTCAACGGCGGCTCCACACGTATGATGATTACTTCAACGCGAACTGAAAACTTGGACAAGGAGAACGCTCGTCGTCATTCGTCTCCTTGCCCTCGCCCTCGTCCTTATGGGTCTCGTTTTTTTTTTCAGTCCTTAGTTTGCGCTACCGGAATCATCGTAAGATACCAGCAACCACCACTGTTCACGAAAAATCTCCAGTTCGACAGTTTCTCGGGGCTCGTACACTACCGAATGCCCCTGAACTAAAACGTGCCGCGATTGTCACGTAGTTATTGTGTTACACTGCAGACTCGTAGGTCACGGGATAGAGTCCCGACCGCGGCACCCACATTTTCGACGGTGGCTAAAATGCTTGAGGCCCGTTTTTTTAGATTTAGGTCACGTTATTGCACCTCAGGTGGTCGAAGATTTCCAGAACCCTTCACTACAGTGTTTCTCATAATCTTAAGCTGTCTTTGTAGCGTTAAATGGCAACATTCATTGTTATTTCCCCTGAGCTGATGCCCTTTTAGTATATCTGGTGGTGATTTTGCAAACAATAAATCACGCAGTTCCACTAAACCTTTTTTTTTTTTTTCGTCAGTAGAGTTCCAGTTCATAACCTGGCTGAAAACGTATTCGCAGCATTCCGTAGAGAAGTGAAACAGAGTCGAGGTTTGTGGAAAAAAAAACATATTTACTGTAATATTCGTGATCATGTCCAACGAGCATGCAGCTGAACTGTACACAAAATATAAAAGCTCTAAAATGAGCTGCAATATGAAGATATGCACAGGAAAGACTCCTGTTGTACGCTGTTCCCCTAGGCGTCTTGCAGTCCTTTGGTAAAAGCAACAGCACTAGGTGAACCACACAAGCACAATACGAAGAGAACGTTCCGAGGCGCGTCCAAAGAAGCGCCGTCTTGATTTAACTTTGTACCTAACTTTGTACCATGATGTTCTGGAGAATATTACGTCACCGATGAGCTTCGATTGCTCCAAAATTGGCCTTTTCTCAATTACTATTCATAGAGTACACAGCTGAAGCCAATCATTTGGTGCAAAGCCAGGGGCCTTCAAGCATAACCTACATTTTATACATTATTGCAAAGAAAGCTGTGAAGATATTCACCTTCTTTCGTTTATTCATCAGACAACACTTTCTATAAAAAATGAACCATGACACATAACAGATGGTGTGAATTCAGGGGGCGTTTCGGTACCAAGAAAGGTTGTTACAATGACGCCTTCTAATCTTTTGTATAATAATCACTCAGCTTATAAAACCAGAGGCCTCGTCAATTGCCTACGCGGAGCTTTTTGCACTTTCTCAGTGTATGCAGCAATAAACTCATAAGAATTGGTCAGGAATATTTCAAATAAATCTTGGTATAAATACATTTCCTTGCTATTTAATTTTGTCACATAATTTAGAGCAGTAGTCCGTTAGAAATACGTTTAAGGGAACATCCGTAGATATTGTTGTACCGTTTAGGTGCGGTGGTTCGTATACTGAGAGTAAAATCAGTATCCTGAATGAATGAAAATATACATTGCTTCACTGTTATATGCAAGCCTATCAATAATTTTTTAGCCTAAGTATATATTTCGTCTGGTTTATGCCACAGCTGACATTATAACTATTGTGTAATAACAGGCTCCTTCAGTGGCCCTACTGAAACATTGAGATGCTCTGCCATCAATAGTAGAAGACACTCCATTATCTATAGTATAACCTTAGAGCACTTTACGTATAATACATATAAAACATAGCTAACCATCCTGTTCATTTCAAGTAATCCTACATCACTCGAGAAAAGTTTCGCTATCATGGTCCCAGCGGCTCTAGCAAAGACACAATTTACGCTACGCGTAGCGCCAGCAACCCCTGAATGCCCCAAGTTTTTTAACACTCATGTAAAGCTATGTACGACATGGCACGAGTTATATGATACAACAGTTCTCAATTGCAAGCGTCTGGCATACGCATCCGTAGTCCAAAACGTCCACCAATATGTTTGACAGAAGGGAGGACGCTTAGGGGTGTTGGTAGTTCACCGTACCTCGTAAATCATAACCTACTACAGGAACACGAGGCTTAATGAAGACAAGGCAAATGCCTACGCACTTGTCCTGTTTTTTTTTTTTAATAAAAAATAAATGAACGGTTTGTTGGCGTTTCCTTGCGATGGCTATTCACTTACACTTGGTTGTTGGTATATGAAAGAAATAAGAAGAAAACAATATATATACATATATACAGTCCTTCATTTGGTAAGTTCAAAAGTTCTTGTTTGAACTAAGCACACTTGCAATCACGGTGCTCTGTTTCAGCGTAGTCTGATCAGTGTTCAATGAAAATAATAGTCTCTTCAACAGAATGTGGAAGCACTTTCCTTCGTGATTTATCTGAAATGGCCGTGGGCCAATTCTTTGTCGCCATTAGGCGCTTGTCCTGTCTTCACCAAGTTTCGTGTTCGTGTAGTGTGCTATGGTTTCCGGAGTACTTTTACAACTGGGCAAACTGAGCTGAGCAGGCTGAAAACACGCTCTGTCCAGTTAAAACATCCATGCACACTTGAGCCTTTCATTCCGTCTTGCAGATATTTCATTCGAAGCCGGCTGGGGCAGCGTTGTTCGTTCCCAACCAAACGGTGGTCGTCGCATTCACTCCGTCGACGTCGTTGGTCACGGCTTCACGTTCGGGTCAATGAAGCAAGGCAGGGCGAATGCTCCGGGCTTGACGAGATCCTCTATGGAAGCTCCCGTGCCGGCTATCGTTCCAATGAGACCAGCGACGAGGATGACCAGTATCACCACCTTCTCCCACGTCGGAATGGTCCTGCGAAGGTTGACGTTAGTCGGCTTGTTAACACTCTTCAACCAAGCTAAGAACCAGGTCTCTTGTTCACAAAAACTCTACGCTAGAACGTTTTCCGTGTGAACACCTCCGTCAATGACTGATGCGGGTCATATATGACTAGGAAAGCCGCTGATTCATGAAAAAGAATGCACTTCTGGAAGGGAAGTTTCGGAATCGTCTGTCTCGAGCCTGCTTTGATTTAGGACGATAATCGTTAGGTGCTTCGTCGCACGTTAACTTAGAGACAAGCACCCCAGGCGATTGAGGCATTACAATACCACGTGTCATTACCTGAGCGATAGTCGTGTAAAGAGAGGACAGTTTGTCTCGACCTAATCACGTGACGAAGAAATGACGTCGCAGATGGTCGATATTTGCGACATCGTCATCATGTCATAATCACTTGACCACCTCTTGATTAAATGTGGGCCTGTCTCGGAAGTAGTGCGGTCGTACGTGAGGTGCTCGAAACGTTCACGTGAGGCTTTGAAGCCAACAATACACTCGACTTAGAGCGTCAAGGTAATTTAGTGCATGCCTCAGGTTCTTATGACCAGCAACGAGTCCAGTCCCCGATTGTATAACTTGGTACATCATGAGCTGCGTAAAAAGCAAGTGTTACAGATAGCGTACCATGTTGCCGAATTCATTGAGGCCTGAGCCGTAGATCTATTCACGATTTCTTTTTCCCATGGAGCGATAGTTATATTCCTAAATACCCGGCCGCGTTTTATTATCCAGACCATCAAAGTGAACGTACATTGAAAATCATGCGAAAGATTATCTAGACAGATTTAGCGAAAAAATCATAACCATATCATGATGCCATCCCTACGTCGAAAATTGGTAAAATATGTGACTTCTTTTTTGCAGTCACTTTTGCTTTACTGGGACGTCACGTAATCAGGCGTAATATGGAGACGTCAGCGCATTGCAAACTCGCTTAGTCAAACTTGGGTCGATCTCAAAGGTAGTTCAAAACCATGTTCAAAACACGGCGACGCGTGGCCTAGCGCACTCTGGCGGCTGCTGGCATCGCGTTCGAGTGGGAGCCGAAGCAACCACAGTCTCTTTTCGCGTCATCTTGCGGTGAGCAAAACAACCATTCCTTGCTGATATAAAACAGCAAGATTGCAACCCCTCCCCTTTCAAGGTGATTACTGGCTCTCGCGTAATCACCTTGAAGGGGAAGGGTGTCGCAATCTTGCCGCTGGTTTCATATCAGCAACGACTGGTTGTTTTCCTCGCCGCCGGATGACGCGAAAAGAGACTGTGACTGCTCTTGCCCCCGCTTGAACGCAGAGCCAGCAGCCGCCATAGCGCGCAAGCCACGCGTTCTCGTGTTCCCTTTCATAAAAAATGACACTGTACTTTCAAATGATATGTGGAGGCTTGCACCTCGAATGTGCGTGAAGGACTGTGACAAGACTGCAGTGAGTGCCTTGTGGCACGTTCCGGAGCAACAGTGACTGCACCAGTGATGCGGGTAGCATTATTAAGTTCAACCATCACGCTCACCTCTCTTTCCACTCGGGCGATGTCTGGGAGCAGAGCTTGTAGTAAAAGAGACAGGGCAGGATGAACGTCGTCAGGCCGACCATGAAGGATCCCACAAGGGGAAGCACTTTGCCGAAGTGCGGCACCGTCTCCGTGGTGAACAGCAGCGCCAACATGATGGCCGCTCGCATGACGACCCGCTTCCACGTGAACTCTGTAAGAGCAGGATGAAGATGCAATTTTGAAAGCCCACCGAATGGAAGTGCTGCCATGGTGTTAACGCAACGGCTATATGAAACAGGCAAACAGTGTTAGAGGAATCTTGAGCATGGTCTTAAGAGTAGCACGTCATAGCGTAAGCGGATCCCGTTCGCATTTCCTTTTCGATCTGTGGCCTTGTTCTGCTCCTGTGTCAACAACTCAACCATACCGCTAGGAAAGCAACTTCTGTGCGAGAAACATTGACCGTCGAAAGCTATCCGATAATCCGTATTTCAAGCACAGTTTCAAAGTGTTCACTACGTCATTACTCTTCCGTTAGAAACCAGTGAAGTATAGACGTGTAGACCACGTGTCCGTAAGGCAATCCGTGAACCTACGCAACTGCTCACTTAGTTCATGCTTTTGTTGATGATCATGATTAAATGCCTTTGAGTTCTTTGTAAAGGGTGGGCCTTTCAAACCCTTACTCTTCGTGCTGTTCACATGTCTTGACTCTTGGCACAATTACGCATCTGACATGCAACATTACACGCGTTAATAAGACTGCTCGCACTAAATAACACTCGTATTTTTTTGGAAACAGTGCGAAGTAATGGTGGTATTAGCTCTGTGATAGAATGCCTGCTCACCATGGAGCAGTCTGGGTTCAATTTTTACAAGAACGGAAGTATATTTTTTTTTTCATATATCTCGTATTGTCGCTCATGGGCAACACTAATTTTTCCCTCTCGACCAACCACACAGACGGTGACTCGGACACCGAAATTTCTGCATAACGAGCTCTTCAGCGCTATTGCTTCTATATCAGTAGAGCTGTGCACATGGTCCTCTCTTTCTCATAGCGGGCTCTTGTCCCATTTTTTTTTCTTTTGCTTTCGTAGCTGTTCGATCGGTTATGTTATGCATTTTCATCATTCAGAATCATTGTCTGCTTTTATATTCATCATGCCGTTGCTACTCGCGTCACGGACTACTCATGTGAAGACCTCACGAATCGCCTCTAAATCGTTTTAATAAATGCAGATTTGCAGTTTGCCCAAGAAACTTTATTTCGTTCTGCCATTCCTCACTTAATTTTTTAAAGATAATATTGCGTCATGTCACTTGAGAACCCATTGACATATGTTGCTCGACTAATTTAGTTGCGTGAGGTTAACAATTTTTGCAGTTAGGTTGTAGCGGGTTCTCTGCTCGCAAAATGTTGTTCACTATTCAATTGACGCTAACTTGAGGTGTGATTAGAATTCTTCGTAATATTCATAAGTACTCAAGACAGCAAAACGAAACGCGCCAATGAGTCAAGATTATATTGCTAAATACAGATAGCATGCATACCACGAAACAATGCGGCCATTGATGGGCATAATGTTCTTCAGAACAATGAGCAAATAAAAAAAAACGTTATCACTTCTAGTCAACAAGATTTTTTTTTCCTATAATAACATCATCTGTGAGGAAGAATGACAAATCGAACAAACTTCAGACACTCTCGTGTTATGGTCTCGCTAGCACACCAATTTTTAAATAAAGGACCATACAGAACGCAGCATCTTACGCTACATGTACGAACCTGTTGGGATGCCGATGTGTCCTTCGACTTCCTGGCACATGGGATTAATGATGATGAGGAAGCCGGTGATGAGGTGCACGATGAAGAGCAGTTGGACGGCGATGCTCACACCTCCGTCACCGATGGACATCAGGATGTTGGCCCCGACGTCGTTGCCAAAGGTCAGGTAGCCCAGTGTGGCCATTACCACGTACAGACCAACGAGAGCTGTCAAAAGAAAATCGCTCGCTAAAGAAGGCCAACCACCACGAAACTGTCTTATGCCAATGGCATAGCCAAAGAGAGGGGGGAGGGGGTGTCCTCTTCCCTACCTTTCGAACACTTTCTGTTTTGTATAGGTATATATACATGCTCAAGTACACACGCCCGAAAATGCAAGAAAACTGGTAGACATCTCTCGTCTACCACGAAAAAAAAATGCCTGGTTGCGTCCCTGTCCTAACGCTAAGCTGTGAAGCTGCCATGCATCGCGACTACATGCCGTTATGTACAATAAATAAACACGCATTCATATGTGTGTACCTTTGTAGTTCGCTTGAGCATAAGCCAAACCGTACAGACATTAAGATATTTCTCAAGTCTTTCAGTATAGTTTCTAAATATCAGGAAGACTATAAGTTTATTCTGATCGCAATTGTAAGGACACTTTTGGCGTTTTTGGCCCTTGGCTTTTCCGTCATGCTTCGTTTATATATTTAAGAGAAAAGTAAAATATTTCAAAAGAAACTATTCTCCAAGCGCGCGAACGGGGGATCCAAACAGGCGAGACATTGCTCCCGCGGCGCGTTAAAAGACTCCCCCACGAACCATAAGTTCTTAAGAATGCCAACGGCATGCTATTTGTCACCATTCCTCGCCGGCAGTATGCAGAGCTCGGAGAAGCTTCAGAGTGTTCTCTTAGCCACCCGTGAGATGGCACCAAGGGTGCCCTTTGAGGATCGTTGCCGCACTAATTGATCCCTGGAGTTTTGATGCGCGCTCCCCTCCTGGCTGTACCACCATTATATTTCTCTGCTGGGAGTAGTCGCCTACACGCGCGAGCTTATTTTGTGAAGGGGTGACTTGTACATTCGTCTTATGCTTTCACCGTAAAGATTGACTTGATTGTTGCGCAGTGTACGAAAGTCCCTTTGCTTTCTGCCGCACCCACATTATGAATAAGGTGTCAGTTGCTTACTATAAGAGTCGAAGTAGGGGTTAGTTCGTTGTGCGTAGTCGATAGTTGCAGCGCGCTTCTCAAACACAGGGGAGTAACAACTGTGACAGTTATTCGTGTGCGCTCGTCCTGTGTATATGTACGTTGTTATGGTGTGTCTTTCTTCGTTATTGAGCAGTGTGCGGCAAGTGTCAAGCTGCGACACTTGTTTGCGTTCGACTTGTATGTGTTCTATTCGTGCGTTGTTGTTTTTTTTTTAAATTGAGCAGCGCGCTGCAAGTTTTCAGCTGCCTGCCGTCTTTCGCGTGATATTTAAGTTAGTTGCTATCGCACTCATTCGCAATGCAGTGACACTGACATCTTCCTGATAGTCCATCATTGTTAACGCGCTGGAAGCGATTGTTGTGGGTGAGCTGGGTTCTCCTGCTTTTTTTTTCGGCAAACTTTGGTTCAATTTTCTGGACTACCTATGTCCAACCCACTGACTCACAGCGGGCTTGCACTCACCAATGGTGGCGTACGCCACGGCCATTGGGAACCGGCTCCTGTCCCGCATGTCGTTCTGGATGGTGGGGAACATGGCCGCACCACCGTACGAGAACATGATGGTGCCGAATCCCCTGAAGAACTGCGCGAAACCAATGTGTGGTGGATGCCGGGGAAACGCCGCCCGTCCGTCGTGCATCCGGACGCAGCACACGCCCACGACGATCAGGAACGCCGCCGCTGTAGCTCCCATGGCGCCAAATGCGGCAAACCTGCGTCGTAACCATTGAACAGGGCGCAGTTGAACCAGAGGCCCGAAATGGCAAAGCTGTTCGTGCATGAGTGACATTCCCTATTGACGACAAGAGGGTTCATTTTTGGAACCAGGAAGGCGAGGGCCTTGTGAATTGTGCTTGGCTAGGTTATCTCATCAGTGGGAGAGGAGATGAGGCCGGCAAGAGCTAACCTTCTTTGCAACAGCTAGCCACCATGTGAACCAAGGACAATTGAGGGGGAAAATGCAAAAAGGCTACATTTAGTTTTCCATTGAGGCGTAGGAATTTTGAGGATAAAGTAACGTGAACAGGGTCGTAAGGGCTATTTTTGCGCCTGGGGCAAGTGCTCTGTGAATACTGCATCAGGCGTGCGATGCAATACTTCTTGTCGTGCTGTGACCACTGCTCCCCCGTGCTGGACCCGTCGAACGAGAAACCTGCCACTTGATCGAATCGCCCTTCGATATTCAAGTTTCTCGACTGCTGCCCCAAGGTCACCGGATGAATCCCGGCCCCGGAGGCAGCATTTCGATGGAGACTCACCGCCAGGCACATGCGTGCCTAGAGTTAGAGACATATCAAAAAACCTCAGGTGGCTTACATGGCAGTACACTACGTCGTCTCTCCTCATCATATCGCAGTTTGGCACGTAAAACCCCAACCACTTTGTACTACTATTCGATTACTATTTGAATGGACTACTGCTCACCCGAAGTCCTTGGGCGTTCCCAGCAGCATGAGGACACCCATGGCGGCCGAGATGATGATGAGCCAGTAGCAGAACGTGAGTGTCGCCTTCTCGCCGAAGAACTGCCTCATGACATCCATGACTAGCTCTGCTGAGAGCAGGATGAACACCGAGCCGTAGCCGAACAGGCCCATGATTTGCACTGTCGACGTGAACAACCTGCGAGCGTTGGAAAACCAGGAAACAAAGAACACGGAAATGTTACAGAACTGTCAACGAGGTTGGCATAGCCAGTGTAATTAACACGTAACTATCGTAACTGATGTATAAACCTGTAATATATCAGCGTGTCATTAAGTGAGGTCATTAAGGGCAACTGACTGGATTCCCGAAAAAGGCAAGCGGGTGAGCATAGGCATAGGTGGACAGATGAGATTACGAAGTTTGCGACCGTGTGGATCTGCTTTCACCAAAACAGCTTCTTGCGCTTGTGTTCGCTTGTTTATGTTGTCCTGTCTCGTCGCACTGCTCGCAATGTTATCTTCAACTAATGTTGGCGACGTAGCTTATTAATGCTGTAGTTACTTAATGGTCAGCTTAGTACTGATCATCACAAATGCTTATTGACATTGAAGGCATTTATGCTCGACAGCATTGCTGGAGGATTCACTTGAGAATGTCCGTGACACACATTGAGGAGCTACCTTTAGCCGGTGCAATTTTAGGGCCTTTCGAGTAAAGAATTGTAGACGTCATTACGCATTCTCCTACGTGATGGTATTAACCCTTGCAGGGGAAGTATAATAAATACACCTAAACTTTTAGTGGTAAGCCGGAGACCCGTTTATTGAAAAATGGCAGAGTTAAACCGACCAGTCATCAAGTGGGGTGAGCGAGGGCAACAACAGTCTTCCTTTTCTTTTTTCGCTAGCGCTCCTGCTGTGCTACATATTCATGCTACAAAACCTCTGACGGCGTTTAATTAACGACGATGTGTAAAAAAGAACGATTTCATAAAATAATCAACAAGATATGTTTGTTTATTTACTTGCTTACACTTTGTTTGTTTGTTTGTTTGTTTGTTTGTTTGTTTGTTTGTTTGTTTGTTTGTTTGTTTGTTTGTTTGTTTGTTTGTTTGTTTGTTTGTTTGTTTGTTTGTTTGTTTGTTTGTCCTTACGCGCAAGTATGGGGATGTGATGGGCTTGGTAGCATTATAGTACCAAATTTGGTAGCTCATGGGCAGCCCTGGAAGCTGGAGTTTGCAAGTGCGATTCCATGCTGTGATGAATGCGTCCTTCTCAAATTAATGTGTATACCTGCATTCGCTTTTACGTGAAATGATATGGAATGTCTCACTGTCATCCGAATAAAGCTGACGTATTAATTTCTGTGCTTATTAATGGGCTGATAGCACTGCATGGTTACGATACTATCAACATATGGCTAGCTTTCTCTATAACAAGCAGACTTCTTTTTTCCCAAAATGTCAGCTCATCGATTCGATACATCGTTCAATTATGCCAGCCATATGTGGCCTTACCTCATTATCTCAATTTATTTCTGGCAATACACGCTATTCATAATATAGCGTTTCCTGTCCAGAACACGCGTCTGTACTGCAGGTGCAACGAGGTTGACTCATTATCGGCCATTTCCAAACGCAGGTGTACAGCATATGGTATCAGAAAGAAGCGCACCTGCCCGCTAAGCGCATGCAACTCACTTCCTAGTCCCTCTAAAAGCAGATGCCATGACCAGTAGCTTATGCTTCTGTTGTATTTTGCTGCTATTGTACCTGTTTATTGCCACTGCTGTTTATACTCTGTTCTAGTATATCCTTCATACATAGTGTGATGTTCGAGAAAATGGTGCACGTACCTCAGGCTGCACCTGTGTGGGGTTAATTAGCTAGCGCTTCTTTCTTGTGGTATCCATTACCTAGTGATCTATAGTAATTAATCTCCACTGATGTTGCGGAGATTGGTGTGTCCGTATTAGCGCTAAGCGCTGATGAACAGCAAGGTAAAATAACGGAGCATTAGGGGGTGCTAGAATTTGTTCTACTTTTTCGATGCTGGTGTTGTGCAAGCTGGCCAATAATATTGTGCTTGATACAGGCTCTGCCAGGTGGAAATAACAGTGATTTGTAAGCCATGGGAGAGCAGGTGCACTAGAACAGGCGCACAGAATTGCCTAATGCCCGAACCAATGACGTTATTCTTTGATCGAAGGAACTCAATGAATGTGGTTTTGACCGATTGTGCTCTTATGTAACGTAAGTTATATTAATAGGCAACGCAAACGTTGTTTCAATGCCGAGTGACAGCGTGGTGTAGCAAAGAATAGCTGTAATCTATTAAGCAAATTTTACGAAGCTAAGCAATAGTTACACGGTTGGAGATTCATGACTCTGTTGCGGAGGTAATATTCATTAGTAGTAGTTGAGAGAACTCACTCGGCTAAATAGCAAATTTATTTATTTATTCACAATTCACACCGCCTAATGAATATTACCGTGAATGACGCTGCGGGAACCACATATCTATTGCACTGCAAATATTCGAACCTTTCAGCACTCACTGTACTCACTTACTAGCCCACTTTAGCAGTCAGTAGCCACATCATGAGATAGACAGCTTTTTGGACGCATTCGCACTTTCATGTGATTTTTCATGCACACATCACTTGTTCGATCGCGTAAAAAAAGGACAGACAGTTCAAAGCAGCATGCACTGGTACAACACATATATGTTTGTCATGCATGTAATAATATTACACGTTACGATTTTTATGCATTATGGTTACCTCAAAACTTTCCGCATGATTACAATCAAGTTGATGGCGGCCTTCTCAACAGTAGATATTTTACCATTCAAAGAAATTTTCAACGAATGAAGACAGCTCACAAATCATTCAGTTTTAAATCTGAAGCAATCCTTGAAGAACCAAAGGTATATTGAGCATTTTTTTCTACTTAGCTTCCCACTGAGCTCGAGTTCACTATACTTTATTCGTTGCCACTTTGCAAGCAAGTCGCCGTCACTTAGAGTTGCAATAAGCAAGGCTGATAAGATTTATTGGAGACTAAAGCGGAAATTTTTCTTGGCGCTTCCAGTATGGCGAAACTGAAATATTTACAAAGATTAATCGCAATCATGTGCTCACAGCAGCTTCGATAAAGCAGCGGTGTTGGTAATGCTTTTTGATGAAAGAGAATTATTTTCCTGAAGCAGCAAATGCTCTGACCGGTCCTTAAAAAGTTTGTTCGTTCCCCTCTTTAACTGCATCGGCCAGTCGTAGTAGAATAAAGACATGAACAAGTGATGTAGTATTATAGAGCCCCTGTTCGGCGCTAGCCTGCTCTGCAGCGCTGCAGCATAGAGTGGAGATTGTCGCAAGGAGCCTTCGAGTAAATCGTCACTGCTGAAATGTTGAAAAATTATCACTATATTGTACTTTTTCCTCGCAATATTTTCTCTCCCTCGTAACGAAATTGAGGGATTACAGTGGTGAAGGACAGTTTCGCCTTAGTTGTTTTGTCCAGCATGCTGCCGACAGTGACCACTGTCAAAAATGGGGAGGCTCAGCTCTCCTTGCCCCCCCCCCCCTGGCTGATTGGTGAAGAAAAGTTTCGCCTTAGTTGTTTTCTCCAGCATGCAGCCGACAGTGACCACTGTAGAAAGTGTGGAAGGTCAGCTTTCCTTGCATCCCCCCCCGGCTTATTGGTGAAGGAAAGTTTCGCCTTAGTTGTTTTCTCCAGCATGCAGCCGACAGGGATTACTGTCGAAAGTGGGGAGGCTCAGCCTTCTTTGTTTCTTCCCCCCCCCCCTCGGCTGATTGGTGAAGGAAAGTTTCGCCTTAGTTGTTTTCTCCAGCATGCAGCCGACAGTGACCACTGTCGAAAGTAGGGAAGGTCAGCTTTCTTTGCCTCCCCCCCCCCGGCTGATTGGTGAAGGAAAGTTTCGCCTTAGTTGTTTTCTCCAGCATGCAGCCGACAGTGATCACTGTCGAAAGTGGGGAGGCTCAGCCTTCCTTGCCTCCTCCCCCCCCCCCGGCTGATACGCCTATGCAAAACAGGGACGTACTTGGCCCACTTTCCGTAAGCCCTGAACGCGATGGATGGGTACGGGTCCCGCACGTGTCCTCTGTACTCTGCCCATCGCTCCTCCAGGATGGTCCAGCACTCTCCCAGCTTCCAGCCACTGTATCCTGATGCGAATGCCGACGCGACGATGAGAAATAGTCCGAACCAGCCTGCAGAGCGTTCAAATCGTACGAGCATGTGAGAGGGAGGAAAGGAGGTCACACGAGTACTTCGAATGAGGCAAGTTTGTTACATCAAATCTCGTTTTGCTTTACCACAGCCAAGTTTCATCCCCAGTGAAAGAGACAGTAGAAAGAGAAGAAAGAGCAAGCAACTAAAACAGCGCTCGTCTTGTTGCCTGTCAATTACGTCTTTGTTATTATCTCTTTCCTTTAGACTCAAAGTGAGCTACGCTACAAGAAAATGATGGTATACAAGATTTGAGTGAAACATCAAATATGACAAAATAATATAACGTAGATGCAGCCAACTGAGACATACTACCATAATGAACAAACGTGCTACCATCTTGAAAGCAACTGTTTCTAAAGCAGGAAAAAAATAGTGAAGGAGGCAGCGTGAGGTATCATATACATGAATATATTACCACATATAGTAAGGTTGTAGTGCAGTATACATTCAACAAATCATGTTGAATAGCGGTTCTCTTCGCTTACAGCGTGTCGTATTACCTACTATATGACATTCACGAAGCTGTTGGCCACATCTTGTGAATACGCTTGCTTAACTACAGCTGCGCTTGAAAATGTTCTTTTGTTGCGTGAGTCTTGTCATGGAAATGAAACAAGGGTACGTGATTGCACGTCAACCATTGCTCCTGCGAGCATCTTGCTTTGGCAGAAAAGCATAGAAGTTTCTGAATAATTTCAGAACTACATAAGTGCTCCAGCTGGTTCATCTTTTCGATACCTGAAATTGCTGTGAACGCATTTTTTTCGGCACATTCGTCTAGAGTGACCTAGTATTTCTCAAACGCTAATGTGTTACAAACATGCTAGAAGTTCTTAAACCATTGCAACATGGGGTGCTCCTCTAAAGAAGTGAATTACTGTAGCCGTTTCTGGGCACATTTTGCAAGGAAAAAAACCTGAAACAATAGCCTAATGGTAAATTAGGCATTGCAGCTGCCTCAAGTGTATTCATGTTACTTCTCTTTGAAATGCATTGCCATGCGCGATTGCTATGGTGGAAGCGGCGCTGTGTTCAACGAAGCGTTGGACGTGGGGAGTTTCACCATTAATTTCAAAATATTTTAATCCGCCTATCATCTGATTTGGTTTTTGAAGGAATTTAGCATCACGGACTGTACAATAACGGTATTTTATTACCTTGTACATACAGTACATTGCTGTAAGTTAAACTGATATATAAATGAAATGATAATCCATGTCTTAAAGGGCTAATCACTATCCATGGACAATGACCTAGGCCGAATCGCAAGTGTGCCTTTACAGTGTGACGGCAGCATTATGTTTTCCATCCCGACTCTGCTCCTCTCCCGTCTATCTTGGTAGCACACTATTTTTGTCGTGCATCAAATCGATAAATCAATTTCGATTTCCGAGTCAGGCGAGTGCATCTCCTAGATGAAATGCATAGGAGCTCCCGCTAGCTCAAGTTGGAACCCTTTGCTCAGAGTGACTAGGGTTTCTTATTATAAACGGAATAGCGCGTCTCGTTTCAGATGATTCCCTCGCGAACACTGCTGGGCACCGCGCTCTGGCTTTGTGAGGCTGTTCTCTCTCGATGCCCCATTGATCCGTATACTGGTGGTGTTGACGTAAAGCTATATGAATGCATTGATTATTGATGCGTAATGTGTCAAACCTACAAAAAATTTTACTATACGAGTGTTTGATGAGTCAGTCGGCTATATTTGTTAATTGAGTAGATACTACAGGTATTTTAAATACAGCGGACGCCATGGGCGCTGCGGCTGTCAGGGCAAGAGTGTGTTGCTAGGTCGTTTTGGTTCAAAGAATACGTCATTTTCCACCGCTAATATATATATTACATATTATGAGTGCTAAAAGCTTTTTGTCACTAAATAAATTATCATGCTTGGCTGAACAGTGAGACCTCAATTATTCGGAAGTTTGGCAGGAAGTTCAGGTTTTCACCCAGCGACTCGGACGTCTGTGTTTATTTGCATATGACGTAGCTGAAATACACGAAAGTTGCGTGACGTTATAAAATAAAGAGAGGCGATTGATTGGGGCTTTTTTGCCAATTTTATGTGGTTGTGACAGCACTGGCCGTACGCGAAAATTACATTGTTGGATTCAATAGGTTGCAACTAACGAGGGTGAAAGCGTTCGTTTTCATTCAAATCGTTACCAGAAAATGACTTTTTTCAAATAATATTCAGAGTATTTTTTACTATTCTCGTGTGTTCACGCTTTTAATGAACTAGGAAGGACTAGAGGCACCACCCTAACTTGCCCGTACTAACAACCAACCAACCTCTATAGCTGCTCGCGCCCCGCCGCAGTGGTCTATTGGCTAAGGTACTCGGCTGCTGACTCGCATGTCGCGGGGTGGAATCCCGGCTGCGGCGGCTGCATTTTCGATGGAGTCGAAACTGCTGCAAGCCCATGTGCTCATATTTGGATGCCCGTTAAAAAACCGAGGTGGTCGAAATTTCTGAAGCCCTCCGCTTCGGTGTCTTTAACAATCATATGGACGTTAAACTGCACATATAAATCTATAGCTGCTCTTATTACTGTTTACTACTATTCTGGGGTAGAGCTACGTTTAAAATAAATTGTGAATGCTTTAGAGCACAATAGGCACTGCACCATGTGAGAGCCCTCAGCTGTCTCTGTTTTTTTTTTTTTTTGATGCGACAAGAAAAGTCAGGAAGCCAAGAAACAATTTAAGAAGCAGGGGCAGCTGGGTGAGTTTGTTACTCATCTTAATGGTGGGGCGCAAAAAAAAACCGATAGCACAACTGGCAGAAAACTAAGCTGTTCTCTAAGGAACAATTTTAATAGCCTTTTTTTTGTGTCTGCACCTTTTAAACCAAATTCATACTATATGTATACGTGCACGACCAATCTCCTTGCAACAGATCAATATGACATTTTTAAACGCAACATCAGGAGGCCGTGAGTATCATTCATGACAGCTGTTCACACTCCGTCACTAAAAACACCTTCCACTGCTGACCATTATCGAAATTATTACAAAGCCCCCCCCCCCAAAAAAAATAAAAAAGAAAAACGACGTGGAACCTATGGCACCACTCCTTAGAGCCTAACACAATTTTTTTAGTCGTCCATGGGCGCCAAATTGAAGGCCACATATGGGCGCTAAGGAGTTGAAGGCGTTACAGCATAAGCATCACTGCAACGAACTTTTGACTAAACAATGTAGGACAATTGCACTTCAAGTCAAAAGCTTTTAATGTCTCATACTCGCTTCCGTCCGTCCGTGTTCTGGAACTATGCCGGAGGTGGCCTATCTTCATCCCACTCTCTCTGAAATCACTTGGTGACACAGCGGTACATAGCAGCAGCTGCGCCGATGCAGCTGCAGTCTCTACCCATCATACCCCCGTATAAATCACGTGGCTGCTGAGAATGTAAAAAAATAGAGTGAAAAAAAAAGAAAAATAAAGAAACTGAAGAAAGAACCAAAGGACATTGCTTAGTCAGTCGAACGGCCACAGGGTTTTGCTGAACACACTTTAAAATTCATAAAGTGTTCTGCAGTTTTATACTCACCGGTTTCAAGGATGGAATATGGCAGAGCCAGGATGCCGATGCCGGCGACTCCTCCGACCACGAAAACAGTGGCGAGGAACAGTGAGATTCCGTGTGGGTTGGTCGGCACTTCCAGGCTGCCATTCTCCGCCGATTTGACCTGCACGTGTTACGGTGGTTCTAGTAAATGTTGCAAAGCACCCATCAACATTTCTCATGCGCGTGAACATGGGGGGTGCCCCCACCCCCCTAACCTTCCCATGGAAGATGAAAAGTTTTGCCCATACTCTTACGTAGTCCGACCTGCGCTTATTTGATTACAGGGCTGGGTTACGGCCATGCAGATTTCTGACAACAGTGACCGAAAGCCCCGGAAGACTGTTTCACATGCCGTGATTGCAGTGAAAAAAAATCGTTCTATTCGCTCCAATCGCTCTGTTCGCAACTGTCGCTAATGGCGGTTTCGTTTCACATGGACTGCGACCTCTCCGCGATTTTCGCTCTACGACTGGAGCGGCGAGTTCTTGCCACCACTCATTGTGACAGACACGAATGTAATGTAATAATATGTGCATTACGATACCATGAAGTTACCATGAACGGTAACGAAGGGCCCGCTTGTTTCGTCATTTAAGAACACTTTCCAGTCTAAATTTAACTTAAGATGCACAGCATCGGTCATTACCAAAACAAACACGTCCACTCTAGTTCAACGGCTTGGCCGGACCAGCCCTATTTCGGCGGGTCCTGACCGAAAATCTCTCTTGCCACTGCGATCAGAGCGAAAATTTCCAACGTGTTGAAAGCTCGCCGTGGACCGCTGCGGCGGAAGCGAACTGCCTTTATTTTCGCTGGGAGCTGATTCGCAGCCTGAAAATCACTACTCTTTGTGAAACGGCCTTGATGCTACACATCAAAACTTTTTTTTGCTTGCACAAACTTACTCCTGGAAAAATAAGGACCAAAGGCAAGCCATGGTGCAAACCTCGTCAATGCCTGGTTTCAAATCTTGTTGTCCCTTGTGGATCACGTTGTCTCTTAAACTCGACCAACGAGCAGGGAGGTGCTGTGATGCTACTCTACCCCCCGCCCCTTCACACATGCTAATGGGTACTCCTGGGTATGGCTATGCCACTTTACCTTTTGTCGGCTTTGGAACTAGAATAACCATAGTAATCATCATCACAAGCTGCAGCACTTATCAACGTTCTCTACAGTCAACCAAGTTTAATTCTCTCTTTTCCGATCTTTCAATGTTCTGGCAGCCACAAACTCAGCTGAGCGTAAGACGTGGCATGAAGCATTGCTGTTTGGGGGAAAGATGGGATCGTACCAATGGTGAAAATTGTTCTGGTTGAAATCGTGCCCTCGGCTCACTTTCGGCATGTGCAGCGGGAATGAATGAGTAACAGCCGAAGATCAATTAACGTATGACAGTGAAGCATCGTGGTTTGCTCAGTTAACACTTTAGCATTCACTTTCCGCTACCGTCTTCGTTCTAGTATGCGTACAGTGGTCTTATGCGTTCAAATGAAATAGTGGGCACGAGCAGTCTCGGTGAGCTTGAGCTTAGCTTTCCCGAATCGGAGCTCTAGTTTCAGTGAGAGCCCCAATTCGCTAGCATAAATTATGAACACTTGAACTATAAAATGATACGTTGTGCAGCCTGAGAGCAATTACTGCCATGCCACGAAAGTCGTTGCTACTACAAGACATTGCTATTTCAACGTTATTGAGCTTGTATAGCTACCGTCATCTCGCGGAGCCTGATGGAGTTTTTGCTCGCGGACGCCATGCAATCTCGCATGTCAGCCACATAGAGCTTCGCTGTTATAAGTTAATATTCGTTGTTATATTAATGGCATGTGTGCATCTCGCACAAAAAAAATACTTTCTAGCCATCGTCAGTGACAGTTATTCTGTCCCAGACACCTCAAGAGATGAAGTATGTACTGCATACGTTGTGTGCTTGTATAGCACGCGAGGCATGTAGTTCCTTTTTTAGCACATGTATGAAGTAGCATCATACATATACCACCACAAACACAGAGCCGTAGTTAATGAAGAGCCTCTGTCTCACTCTCTTGGAGGTGAACGTCCCTATTCTCCTTCCAGTCGCACAAGGCCTCTTTGATCGTGGTCTGACCCGATCGGTATCGAATTACTCTGTTGCATTCAGCTCTCGTAAGTAATCTGCTAAGGAGAGTGAGTCACGGCTGTGAAATTCAATCCCTAACGGGCGTGTTCGTAGTCTAAGGTGGAACCATGCGACCAAGGCATCAGTTACGAATGTCAACAAACACACCTCTCTCTTCAAGCTGCCTCCCTGTCGAGGTTTCTCTCAATGTCAAGAAGATCATGATCAGGAAACTAAAGCACGAAGACCGAAACCAATGCGCAAAGAAAGAACACGTGGTGGGGTAATTAGGGCTACAACTATCGCTGCGTGGGAAAAAGGAAGCGTAACTAAATCCCCAGCTGCTTGGAAGCAAGGGTGAGACACTCCATCATCCTTGACCAACAAAGCACGACGGCGTCGTGCTCCGTCTCAGTTCAAGTCACCCGATCTTGCATACTCGGGTATAAGCTGGGGTAGAAGGGTTAGAGTGGAAAGGAGGCAGGGGGAAGGGGGGGGCATGCCGGCTGTTATCTCTTGTAACTAAATAAAGCTAACTGTGACTTTGAAGGGACACTGGAGGATGCCGCAGTTCAGCTGTGTTAGTAAACAAAACTGTGGTGTCGGCAGACGGAGCCATTTGCACAGTGAAGGAGAAGTTCATAATCGAGGAGAAAGGAAAAAGAAAGAGAGAAAGAACAAAAAAGGTGAAATAGGCAGCTCTGCAGAAGGCCTCAACAAGGGCAGGCAAAATTGACACATACTTCGTTGTGTATTTTTGAGCACTGCCTATTTCATCCATGATACTAACCTGAACATTAGCTTTTTCTAATAAATGACACCTGATTCTGACAAAGCTGATAGAAAGACAAATAGAGCAAGCGCGAAGAGGAGAAATCGTCCGAAACGCTCGTTTCTTTTTCGTACACAACCAACGAAATGGTGGGATCTGCGTTAGTAAATGCACTTCACTGCATTTTAATCTATAATATATTCACTGCACTGCAGTTTTCTAAAAAATATTATTAGCGTCTCCTAGGCTTTGTCATTAGCTTCAGTGGTTATGTATAGAAAGAGCCCATAAGAGAAGTACACAACGAACAACATAAAGTCAAGAGCCAACAGATGAAAGCACATGTAACCATAAGCAAGACTTTCATACGGTGATGCTTATCTCCATAATAAAATGTTCTCATCATCATCATCATCATCCATCGAAGCGTCGACCAGCATATCAAAAAGCCTCAAGCCTTTGTTACACAGCTGGCTGAATGAAAATACGTAGACACCATCGTGGTCTTGTTGCTATGGTACGGCATGGTTGACCCCAAGGTCATGAAGTGAAATCTCGACTAAGGTGGTCAAATTCGAACTCTATGGTCAGCTCACTCTAAACACTTTCGATGAGGTACACGCTGTTTAAGAACGGCGATGAAAACATAGGTATGAGTACATTCGACAGCTCCGCTGCTTCCCTGACTTCACAGATGGTTATTGTCTCGATTTTAGGGTTTGTGCATCACTACCAAGTTGTACACGCGCACGTGCGAGCAGTTTTTTTTTTATCGCGATGCTTTTATTGTTTTCTTTGAAACGCTGAGCTCACATATGGGCACGTGTCCTCCACGTTTCTTTCGACAACAACTTATCACTCTGTTTGTGCAATGACTTCACGGTCAAGATCAACGGACTCAACCAAGCTCGTCGCGAAATTTACCACTAGGTACATGCTCTTACACCAGAAGAGATTGCAACTCTATCATCTCGTCGTCAACCTTAGAACGAATTCTGTCCGGATCATCACCGGTTGCCCCAGAAAACTGGCATCGCGACAAGAGACGCACGCGCGAGATGCGATTAAAGCTTTTGCGATATCCGCAAGCTTACTCTATCGGGCGTGTCGCTACTTGTTTCGTCATGACGTTGCAAAAAGTGAGCTCATGCGTCGCGAAGATTAGGAGCCTTGACGCATGCGCATATTTTCATGGTCAAATCGTAACATTCGCGCTGCGCCGTTAGGCTAATTGTAGGTCTTTTGACGCAGGTTGCTGAGAACAGCTTGAAGTAGAAGGACCATGCTTTATATATGGTCGTAAATAAACACCACCAGGTATGTCATAATAGAGATGTCGGAGCTAACACGAGGAGGAAGATCCAGCCCTGATAGCGTTCAGTTGTCGAACTGACTTTATTTATATTATCGCGCTGCACCCGCCGCGCGCCCAATGCCAACTTCTTCCTTGTCGAGCGCCGCATTCTGAGGCGCTACAGAGACAAGGAGAGTGATTGTTTTGTCAGTGGTGCATACGCGCCTCATTTTTTTTGCCCTCTCTATCATTTTTTTACCATATTTGGTCCACCCACTGTGATGAATAATAATATCTTGAGTTTTATGTCCAAAAAACACTACATGTAGTCAGAGACGCCACTGTGAAGGGCATCGGAAGTTGTGACCATCAGGTGTTCTGTAACGTGTACTGAAAGCGCACATTCCACGGGCTTCTACCCCTTTGCCTTCATCTAAATACAATCGCTGCGGCAGGGGTCGAACCCGCCACCTTCAGGCCAGCTGCTGAGCACCGTTAAAGCACTGTTGCACCGAGACGGACCACTGTGATGACTAGTGTCTGCTAGGAGATGCAAGTCTTTTTTTTTTCTTGCCACGTATTTTTAATTTTCGTCAGAATTATCACACGCGAGAAAGAAAAGAACTGGATAGGAAGAGAAGGTGGTCGTTCACTAGAAAACTTCGAGCACCGCACCGCCACGGTAACAGAGCGATCACTTCTATATCTCTTTAAAGCGAAAGCCTCAGATACCTCAACAAGCGCGAAAATCGACCATCGTCTTCCCCTATCAGCGGCTTCAACATACAATCATCACGTGATGACGTTTCTAGATGACGAGATCATGACGGCATATATACCCACATTTAGGATGACAACATGGCGATGCATAACGTGACGTTGAATAACACAGGATGTCTGAAAGGCAAGGCAAAACTGGATAAGATGCAGAAACTTTGAGATGCCTCCCATCCTGGA